CAGATCTCAGTGTTGTAGGTCAGTCACTGCCCAAGTGCCAGTATAAAACAAGATGGAGGCTGCTGCTTTACAGCATACCATCTTACAGTGAGCTTACTGTATATATAGTAACACATTCAAAATAGCAAAAGTGTGTGCTAGACAAAGGGCATAATCCAAGAGCAGAAATGTTTAATGCTATGTCAGCATGAAACAGGCATTTATTTATTTATTTATTTATTTATTTGTTTGTTTGTTTGTTTGTTTGTTTGTCTTGAGACAGACTCTGTCTATTTTCTTCTGGTTTGTATGAAATTCATGAAGACCAGGCAGCCTCAAACTCCCAGACCCACTTGCCCTTGCCTTCCAAGGGCTTGGATTAAAGGCATGAGCCACCAAACCCAATTATGAGACAATTCTTAGAATAAGGGAAATTTTATTCTGTGCCAAAATGATTGACCTTGGCCTGTGGATAAAGATATTCTTCTGAGGAAGCAGTCACACAAAGTTTTTATGTCACAAAACAAAAAAAAAATATGTCAGAAATCAATGCATGTACTAAATAAAATAAATAGGACATCAGATCCGTTATAGCAAATCTAGAAAACCTTTGCAAATAGGTTTGACGTGCTGTATTATAAGTGTCTTAGCTTTGAGCTTGGGGAAAGCAAGCTGTCTGGTAAGTTTATGCATTCTAAAGGTATACTTGACAGTAGAAAGTGTTCTAAGCAAGATACAGTAGGTAAGACCTAAATGCTTATTAAACAGCTTAAATAAAAATAGCCCAAGATAATTTTGACTTCAAATTTGCCAAATTTCAACTTTCCATATCATAAAAGTTTAAGCAATAAGTCTTCAAAATTAAATGTCCTCCCCCAGAATTCTGTTTTATACTGTCATTATTTAATATTTACTTACTGTAGGCAATTACCTATAGTATACATTTACACAACTGTCAGCATAAGAGGTTTATTAATAACTATCATTGCTCAAGCACGGGAGTTGTGTCATAGAGTGTTACGACAGTGGAAGCTGCAAGGGTGAACAGAGAAGAAAATGGAGAAATGGAGTTGGTTGTCTTCTATATATATACTGTAACTCGTAGGAGCATTTGATTTGAAAATTACACACATAGAACCCTTTCTAAGAAATCATTTGAAATACTGCATAAAGATGAAATACAAGAGTCCTAGAGAAGCCTCAGCAGTTAGGAACACTTGCTGCTCTTCAGAGGGCCCAATTTCAGTTCCCAGCATTGGTGGCTCACAGCTGTTTGTCCCTTTAGTTGTAGGGGTTCTAGTGCCCTTTTCTGGCCTTACTAGATAATGGTATGTACTCTCACAGACACATAAATAATAAGAAAAATAAATAAAGCTTTTAAAAATAGGTTTGTATTCTAGTAAAATAGGCTTGTATCCTGGAACATAAACATGGCCAGCCATAGTAAAATAATTAAGAATGTTATACTACAGTTAAAGAGTAAATTGTTATACTGTAAAAAAAAAAAAACAATCTAATAGGGGAAGTAAAAATTTAAAATCTTAACATGATTAAGAAAAGCCAGAAATATATGACTTTTATATAGTATAGGTAATTATACTTCTAAATTTTTATAATTATCTGTTGGTTTTTCTTTAGAAGTTTTGATAGCTTCTGTAAATGAGAAAAGTTAAGAAATTATCATTAAAAACCAGAGGAACTTATACTTTAAAACTTGAATTTCAGTTCAGTAGTCATTTTCTTAGTGCGTGTGTGTGTGCCTGCTTGCCTGCCTGCCTGCCTGTTGGTGTATTTGTGTATTTCCCTCTCCCACTCCCTCTCTCCCTCTCTTCCTCTCACTTTCTCCCTCCCCCCTCCCACCTGTATGTGTGTTTGTGTCTAAGAACTGTTACTCAGGCTGTCAGGGAACTCAGCTACAGGTCAGTCTGGCCTCAGATTCAAAGCAGTTATAGCTTCAGCTTGCTAACTGCTAGGATTACAAGCATGAACCACCGTTCTTGGTAATAATGGTCTTTATAGGAAAAGAAATGAAAACAAAACCAAAAAACTAGCTAATGGTCTAGGACTGGCTCAGAATCACTGTTATGTTTATTTGTTGTATATCTTTCCAGTTCCTGTGAACTGCTAGTTTCTTAAGACACTGAACTTCTGAAGGGTGTAATTTATCTGTTAGGGTATCTTTTTAAGGTACATCTTAATTCTCATAAAACTGCACCTATAGCTCCCTTGTGGTTCACATTGTAGCACTTTTTGTTCTTCAGTGTTTGGTAAAGTTTTCCAATTTGTTTTATTCTTTGAGCTTTAGTATTATCCTATTTAGATCCATAAAGAAGCCCTAGAGGCTGGGGAGAGTCAGCTATATTGTTTAGTGTTAACTCTTATTTTTGAGGCCTTCGATTTGCTCCTTGACTGCAGCTTACCCTTACCCCACCTCCAAAATTGTAGCAATCTCATGCCTCAGATTTTAGCACCTTGGAAGCTAAAGCTGAGAACTATGTGTATGAAGCCAGCCATGTTCACTTATCAAGACCTTATCTGCTACCCACCCACTGTCCCCCAAAATGGAAGAATCTACCTCCTGATATTTTTATTAGAACTGCCTTTACTTTAGAAACTATTCTAGGGAGAGCTCATATTTTTATGATAACGGAGTTAAGATAGATTTTACTCATGATTTTGTATGTTTACTGCTAAGAGATGTTTAAATATTGAATTTTTACTTTTAAGAATTTAAAAATTATTTTGAGATCATGGACTAAGATGTAATTATAAAAAGCCCCAATATATTATGTCTCTAATAGAGAGATTTTACATAACTTTTACTAAATTATCTCTTAAATCTTATCATCTTGATAGGTTTTCCTACTCAAATAGTTTCGTATATATCCTAGAGATTTTTCTTTTAAATGAATAAAGACATGTTCTGATTGGTTTTGCCAACAAAGATGAGTTATACTTCAGAAAAGAGCATTGTATACCATAGTAAATTATGGACCAAGAAGGGAAGATAGGAGTTTTTAGGTGGGTTATCTAATTTGTTCTGAAATTATTGTCTTTGACTCAAGGCCAAATAACAAGAATGGCATTAACCCAAAGGCTGGACAGGCAGCTGCTAGGGCTGTATCCTTCTCATCCAATAAATAATTTTTGTTGTGTAATTTGATGGCTTTATTCGTGTTGTGGTTCTGGTAGTCTTGTGAGAGTTTATTAGACAGCAATGAAAGAAAACCAGAGTGGTCTCCCTGGCTCTCTTTCTTGGGCTTTGACAAACTGGTGCCTTTTGTTCTGACAATTTTCATAGCTTTTAATGTCTATGTTCTGCCTGGATTTATTTCCTATCTCTGCCTACTTTTTATCCTGTGCTTTTTTATTTGTTCTTTCCCTTTCCCTCCTAAACTTCCCCTGTACAATGTAAGACTTTATCTCCTCAGATGCTCCCAGTCATGTTGAAGGTGTTTTCTTCTATTTTAATAGATTTTTAAATTAAAATATAATTCCATAATTTTCTTTTTCCTCCCTCTATAACTCCTCCCATGAATCTTCTTTGCTCTCTCAAATTCATGGCCTCTTTTTCTATAGTCACTCCTAAATGTATAAATACAGCTTCTTCAGTCTGCATAATGTTACTTGTATGCACAGAATCATAGGGCTGACCACTTGTGTTAGATAACCAATTTGGAGGCTCTTTCTGCCTCTGATAAAGGAGAAGGTTGACAAATGTGATCATTATTATTTGTTTGTTTTGTCAATGTAGCTAATGAAAGCAACCTAAGGAAAGAAGAGTTTCTTTCCCACCTCCTCCACCCTTACGTTTTGAATTTATAGTCTATCCTGGCATGGAAGGTATAGTAGCAAAAGCGTGAAGTTGGACCCTCTAACTTTTTTGTTTGTTTTCTGTTTTGAGGCAAGTTCTCTCACTGGCCTGGAGCTTAGTGAATAGGTTAGTCTGGCTGGCCAGTGAAGTCCAGTCCACCTCTTTCCTCCTGGTCAGTTGGATAACAAGTGTTTCCACTATTGCCCAGCAGGTTTTAGAGGGTTCAAATATAAATCACCATGTTTGCATGGCATGCCCTTACCAACTCAGCTGTTTTCCCTATCCTTAGGCAAGAAGTTTATATTTCCCACTTTTCCTCTTCTTCATTGCTTCCTGATGAATTGTTACTTCTGTGTCTCATGAGGAGAGCAACTAACTCAGAGCTTTATTTAAGTGTATGGACTTGTAAAGTGCTTCATGCGTCTTGTCACAGAATACTAAAACAGTGTGTGCGCCAGGGTCCAGACTCAATAATAAAGATTAATTTTTATGATATTATTGAGGAGGGCTAGAGAGATGAGTTCAGAAACTTTGGTATAGAGGAGTAGATATAGAACAAATAATTATTTCTGGATAGGTGGTTGTTGTAGTGCCTATAAAATCACTATAGGGATTTGAATGTTTTTAAAGCACACTGAGGGGTAGAAAATTACATTTATGTATTTAATATGTATATAGTAGATTCTTTAGCTGGTAGATCTCTCCCATTTCATCTTTTCACCTTCCAGCCCGTGTAATTAAAATTAGATCACTTCAAGGGTTTTTGTTTTATTTTATTTTTCCTTATCTCTCTCTGTTTTCAAACCTTTTGGAGACAAGGTCTCCTGTAGCCCAGAATGGCCCCTAAACTTGCTGTATAACTAAGGTTGACTTGGAACAACTGATCTCCTGCTTCTGCCATCTCTGAGTACTGAGTTTACAGGTCTCCATCACCACTCCCAGTTTTATGTGGTGCTGGGGATCCAGGCAAGCACTTCAGACAGAAGGCCTGCATGGCCTTTACATCACTGTTTTCAGATCTCCCCCCCCCCCCCGTTTTTAATTGAAAAGAAAAATTGGAAAATATGATTTGAGAATTGTAGTTTTTCACCATTTGTAGTCATTTTTAGTATATTGTTCATCTAAAAGTACATAAGTAAGCATTTGGCTATTCTGTATAAGAGTGTGAATTGTGCTGAGTTATAAGTGTCTTTTCTTATCATCTTAGACAAAGAAACAGCCTTGGTATAACAGCACATTAGCATCAAGACGAAAGCGACTCACTGCTCATTTTGAAGACTTAGAGCAGTGTTATTTTTCTACAAGGATGTCTCGTATCTCAGGTACATGTTCAGGATTCCTCTTAAAATGTCTGAAAATCATCCTTCAGCTGTATCTTCAGGTTCATGTGCTAGATTTATGGAAAGTTCAAATTGCAAAGCAAAGTGTATCTTTTTAGAAGTCTTATCAGTAGTGTATAGGCTTCTAGATATTTTGAAGAGTGCTGTTTTGTACTTGTATCTCTATTCCTCATTCCAGAATTTTTTATCTTTCTAGAGCAAGCTATATAAAGTTTGTAAAATAGCCATGACTATGTAGCTAGCAACAGCAAGTTCCATTCAGTTAGCTCCTATTCAACATTAATAAGTTTTAAGAATCATTCTTCATGCTGATGGAAGAATTGATTCTTAATTATCATAAAGGAGATGTTGTAAGGGAAAAGCAACAGGTAGCTGCTAATGATTCCGTGTACTATATAAGTGTGCAATTGATATAACTGAGTGAAAAATCTAGGCCAAAGTAAAAATGAAAAGACCTAAGTGGATATTCTCAGTGGGGACTTAAAGAGATTGTGTTTAAGCCAGATTAGTATAAATTAAAAAATAGTTAGAAACATTCAAAATAGAATGAATACCATAGGGCCACATGGCCACAATAGCATAAGATATTTTAAATTTTAGAGAAGTAATAAAAGTGTTGGTCAACCTTTCTCAACATCTTATCTGTGAAGGTTGGATATTAGTAGCAAACCTACATGTGTTGAAAGAATTATAGGTGAGGGTTATAGAGATGGCTTACTACTTGCTTTTAGTTCAGTTTCCAACACTCATGGCAGTAGACTGTGTAACTCTAGCATCACAGGGTCTGAGTCCTCTTCTGGCCTCTGTTGGGCACCTGCACACACATGGTACACACACACACATACCCTTAAACACAAACAATCAAACAAATATTTAATAGTTATAGGTGAAATGTATAGTACATAGTACTAATTTCATTAGTATTATATATATTGTAAATGAAAGCCATCAAGGAGAAATTTGTCTGGTAGTATATTCCTTATTAAAAACTGAGTCTTAATTTCCTCCCAAATGAATGAACATCTTTATATTATATTGTATAAAGTGTGTGTGTGCGTGTGTGTGTGTTTACACCTTTTTTAAAATAAATTTGATAATTGGTGATGGAGAAAAAAACATTAATTTATGTAGGCTGAGTATGTGGTTCAGTTGGTAGTGTGCTTGCCTATCAGCAGAATTTGATGCTCAGTAGTATATTTAAAAAACGGAAAAATAAGCATGGTGTGCTTGCCTAAAATGCTAGTTTAAGAGTAGAGTCAGTAAGATTAGAAGTGCAAGGCTATTCTTTACTACATGTAAGTAGGTGGCCAGCCTACACACACACACACACACACACACACACTTAGGAAAATGCTAAAATTTGTCTTAAGCATATTTGATTTGAGGTTAATGATGAGCTTTTTTATGGATGAAAATGTTGCATTCACTGCCAAGGGTTTAAGTCCTTTATTGAGTGTCTATAATAGTTTGTGAATATAGACTTCAATAAGGAGTGATTAAATAAATAGTAGTTTGATCTCTTATTTTAATAGGTAGGGAATTCCTGTTGATTCCTTTAAATATTACTTGTTATTTTGATGTTGAGCACACTATAGGGTAAATGCTGAGTAATTTCTTTAAAGTAGAGATGACACAGGGTTTGACAGAAAATCATCCTTACGTTACTGGCAACAAAGATATTAAGAGAGGATACTGGATAATTTTCTCTGGAAGATGCAGATTTACAAGAAAAGAGACTAGTAAGCTCACACCAGAAGGCAAATTAGATAGATTTTTAATTTCTATATTGTGCTTATAAGCATGTTATCTCAGATTTTTACAAATCTTAAGTTGTGCTGGATTTGCACATCGGTTTCCCATAATTGTACTACTGAATATGAGGTTCTTTTTACAGGAGGAGACCTAACCTTATCTAGAGATGTTCATTCAGTGTCGATTGCACTTCATCATTTTCCACCTTTCCCTGGCTTTGCAATTGTAAAAATGATAGATGCTTATTAGAAAATTAATATCTTGACTTAGTAATTATAATTTTAAAAGGATGTAATGAAAGCTCATGAAGAAAAGGAAAAGTATTGAAAACACTTCTCTAGACTAATCTGTAGTTAAGATGGAGAGGTGTTAGGCCAACAGATGTATATGGATGTTGATCATAAAACAGCTGAACCAACAAAATACAAACCTTCTTTATAACCAGATATAGGAATGACAACTGGTTTACATTTAGATGCTGAAATAACTACATTTCTTTTGTTTTACATGTATGAATGTTTTGGTACATGTCTATCTGTACTACATATGTGCCTGGTGCCTATGGAGGTTAGAAGAGGACAACAGATCCTCTATAATTGGATTATAGATGGTTGTAAACCACCATGTGGATCCTGGGAACTGAACCCAGGTCATTTATAGCAAGTACTTTTAATATTTGAGCCATCTCCAGCCTTTTTTTTTCTCATAAAATATCGTATACTTAATATTAATCAGCTTGTGATAGCTAGGAGTACATTTACACTACAAACAAATGGTCTTCAGCAGTCTTAAATATCTGTGATTATGTACCTAGGAACTGAAGACAAAATGTTTAAGAATAGATTAACATTACATTTTTTTCTGAACCAGTATAAAGGACTTGTCATGCAGTACTTTATTAAATAGTAATAGGATTACAAATGAAGATACACAGTTATCATATCCACAACACTGTTGTAGTTGGTTTTAGTGGCTTCCTGCCCCTGTAACCTACATTTTATTTATATTCTATTGAACTTTCTCAGTGTAATTTTTGTGAAATATGGTCTTATCTCAGTTGTGATGTTGCTTGCTGGTTAGGTCATTCTTTTATTGTTTTTAGAATAAAAACACTACTAACTCTGACCCCTTTAATCCAGGTTGCTAGATAGATTTCTACTGCTTAAATCTGTAGCATTTATGACGTAGCTGACAGGATTTGATTTCTTCAAATAACTTTTTATTAGTAGCATAAGATAAATTTTATCATACCAAATAAGTTTTCAGATATTTTGAAAAATGATTTGTGTCATCTAGTACTTTTTGCATTTAATTTCATTATGCTTGCCATTTTTTCATATAATATGTTTAAGTGGAATCACAAAAAGTTGATGTTGAAATTGCCATGTACATGTGGATGAGAAAATAAGGAACTTATAAAAGATACATTAAAATAAATAATTTTAAACTTTTAGGGTGCTAATGCAAATAATGGTATGCTGTAGTTTTTGTTTATTTTTGTTTTGTCTTTTCAGTTCTTTGGGAAAATGTATAAAAGTCATATTTCCAAACTGAATATTTTATTTGTGTTTTACTGCAAGCATACCTGTGTATTAAAGAATAGTTACATTGACAATTACTTGGAACATTGATGTTATGATTTAAATCTCAGATGGTTTAACTGTAGTCAACTCAAAGGAATCTTGGATGATATCATTATTGTTGTCTTTGAGAATCACTAATTTATTTTTGTACCTATGGCTAAGAATAGGAATTAAAATAATCCAATTTTTGACCTAACATGTGTTATATAGTTTTCTTTGATCATAAATGTGGAATAAGTATATATCCCAATAAACAAATTTTGTTAATAACAAAATTTAACAAATATTTAATCACATGTAGCTCTTCCAGCAGTTACTTTCGGTGTTGATTGTTAGAGTATGGTTTTAATGAAAGGTTTAAGTTCATTAGAAGATTTCTTACTGAGGAAGAGTTAGGAGACGAGGCGGGTGGGGCAAACATGGAGGCGGATGTTCGTGTGTCTTCCCCAGTCAAAGGTAGTTGGTATATCTAGGTTGGGTATTGGGTTACACTTCTGATTGTATGGGCATCTTGTTATTGAGCATTACCAAACTTATAAAGCCTTTGATTAACATTTAAAAAAAATAAAGTAACCATTCTCTTTATCAAAAATAACGAAAGACTGGAGAAAATAAAAAAGCATTACTAATATCATTAGAATAAATTTCAAAATAAACTCCATTAAAAAAAAAAAGAAGAAGAAGAAGGTTTCTTACTGTTTTATTTTCCCCTGAAATCAGTGCTAAAACTAGTGGAGATTGCCTTTATGTTTTATTGGAATGCAAAGGTGTTTCAGTGAATTCCTAGACCATTTTTTTTAAAGCTAAAATATCACCTAATGAATTTGAGCATACTATTTACTTTTTTAAAATCTTCAGAAATAATTTTTATTTACAAATAACCTTTTAATATAAAGATACTTTTCTTTGCTTTCTTTGTAGTGACATTCATTTATTTAATTTCATATTTTCTGATACAGATGACAGTAGAACTGCAAGCCAGTTAGATGAATTTCAAGAATGCTTGTCCAAGTTTACTCGCTACAACTCAGTAAGACCATTGGCCACATTGTCTTATGCTAGTGATCTCTATAATGGTTCCAGCATAGTTTCTAGGTAAGTGTTTGGCACTGTTTGCATTCTTTTATTAAAGTATAAGGAAACTTACTAAATTTGAGAAGCAACTATAACATGTTTTTGAGACTTGGAATTTGAAAGCTACATTGCCTTCCAGTTACTAGGAGCTAGCAAATCGGAATGCTCAGTAGTATCCATTTGATGGAAGGCTGCAGTTTCTCTTTATATGGTATATCTGATGTCTGGGTGTAATGATGGAAGGTGCTCTTTATGTCCTTCCTTCAGTTTTGCAAGTCTGTATAGAATTAGTATATTTCTTTCTGAATATTAATGTTTGATTCTCCACTAAAGTGTTCCATGAAATATAAGATTATAATCAAAGTTCACTGTATAGTTTGTACAATTAATATACACTAATAAAAACTATTAATTTGAGAGATATCTGTAGGTAGTCTAACTAAAAATATACAAAGCACAGGCTGACAGAATGTATTTTTGAAATGTATTCTGGGAATGGTGGTATAAAACAGCTAATGATTGCTTGCCTTAAAAGCAGGAGAACACTCAGAACCCATGTGAAATAAAGGCCAGGCATAGTAGTGCTTGCTCGCTATGCTGGTGATACTGAGGCAGATCTTGGAGCTTACGGCCATGTTGGCAAAAGAAAGGCAGACAGTACTTGAGGAATGGCTTCCAAAGTTGTCGTCTGATTTTTGCATGCTCTTACGTTCATGTACACACATGTGCCTGAGCTTACAAACACACAAATTTCCCACTATATACAATTTTCCATTTCTTAAAATAATGGACATTGTAAAACCACCAGGCTGTATTGCATTTAGCCTATTTTCAGTAGACATTCAAAGTGAGATGAATTACATTTAAATATTTTAAATTAAAATTTTACAAATTAAGTAGGCGCACTTAATTGGTATGTTAGCCTTTTTTATTTTTCCCAATTATATTGAATTAACATTTCTTAATGAAATATTTCCAAGTTTTTAAGTTTGTTATACCAGCAGAACAAATAAAGACTAATAGGTAGCAAGAAAGGAAGAAGGAGCTTTGAAACTTTCATAATTTTGGTGACTCCTTTTTGTACTTTGAAGGATATTTCATTCTAAGCTTTGATTTCTTCTAATGAAAGAGGGTTAAGCAGGGTTGTGGTGGCGCACGCCTTTAATCCCAGCACTTGGGAGGCAAAGGCAGGCGTATTTCTGAGTTCGAGGCCAGCCTGGTCTACAGAGTGAGTTCCAGGATAGCCAGGCCTATACAGAGAAACCCTGTCTCGAAAAACCAAAAAAAAAAAAAAAAAAAAAAAAAGAGGGTTAAAAACCACTAAAACAATATTGGCTAGAATAAATTATTATTACCATAAAATTATGTGAGATCTGTGTCATATTGATTACTTTATTGCACTGAAACTAAATTTTCTGGGAAGAAAACATACTAAACAAAGTTAATCTCCCTTTTTCTTTTCTTGTGTGGATTTGATACCATATCCATTAGTCCACAGGGTGGCAGCATTTGTTTGTGCCATCTCTACTGTTACATAGTTGACAAGGTTAGAATTGGATGGCTTGTCCAGATTCATTCTCCTAATTATTATGTGATCTTAAATTAATAGCAACAAATTATAGAAAAACACTTTCTACTTTTTCCTTAAATATAGTAGTTACACCACATTTTACATGTTGTTTTCCATGCCACCAGAGAGGATTGGCTTGAAATTACATCTTCTAAACTAACTCAGCGTGTAGTGCTGCAACTTGCTTCATGAATTTCTGATTTGAATTTCACATTCCTATATATAGTATAATGACTGTCAACCTTCCTAATATCATGACCCTTTAATACAGGTCCTCATGTTGTGACCTGAACCATACAATTACTATTTTTTTTTTTGCTACTTCATATCTGTAATTTAGCTATTGTTATGAATCTTAATGTAAATGTCTGTGTTTTCTGATGGTCTTAGGTGACTTCTGTAAGGTCATTTGGCCCCCAAAGAGTTACAACCCACAGGTTGAAAATTGCTGCTATAGTTTTATGCTCAGAACTGTTAACTCCTTTACATCAGGTAATTAATTGGCTTTAGCATCTGGATTCTGGTTTACTCAAGTTAAAAATATGTTGTATGCAGCTTTTGTGAACTCATGAAAGGTAAATGATTATATTTATGTGATTCATTGATGTAAAATCAGTCACTAGTAAATTAGTCACCTGCTGGTTTTAATTACTACAACTAATTAAACATTACCCTTTTTTTTTTAAAGATAATTATGAATGTTTTACTTGCACTTTCTAACTGATCTCTTTAGGTTAAGATACTGTGGTTAATCCTATTTTATAGGAGATGAAGTTGAAGTAAAGAAAAGTGTGACTTGGCTAGAATCACTGTATTACGGACATAACTTAGATATGAGCTCCAGCCTTTATGAACCTTTATGGTGCTCTGTTGCTCACATCAGGACCTAGGGACTTGAGTTACAAAGTTGTTTATTCTTTATGGGCCTGCTACTGTCTTCTCTAACTGGCACTTCATAGTGTTCTTATAGTAGATATTTACAAATATTGTTTTTTATGGTAACTAGTGTTCATCCAGAGTAAAATTGTAATGTACTCTTTATTGATGAATGCTTGTGAGTTTTAAAATTTACTTAGTAGATGTCTTTATTAGGATTTTATTTCTGTGAAGAGGCACCATGACCAAGGTAACTCTTATAAAGGCAAACATTTAATTGACACTGGCTTACGGTTTTTAGACATTCGGTCCAATAAGGAGTGAGGTAATTGCTGTGATAAGCCTGACCATGTGTTTTTTTTTTGAGAAATATGGATCTGGGGACTTCATAATGCAATAGAATACTTTAAGTGGGCCTTACCGGGCCCTACTAATAGAAGTGTGGAAGACATTGGTACTGGGGTGATTGGATCTTGGTGGGTTTGGCTCAAGAGGTTTCAGAGGAGAAGAATTTTAGTATATGGCCTAGAGACTCTTGTGATATTTTGGCGAAGAATATGGCTGCCTTTTGTGCTTGCCCAAAGAGTGTGCCTGAGACTAAGGTAAAGAAATTTGGATTCATTTCATTGACAAAGGAAGTCTCAAAAAAAGTCCTGCATAGACTTTGTCCTCTGATTTATTCTCATGAAGAACATTTTGATCAAGTGTAGCAAGCTTAGAAAAAATACAAAATATATGGTTCCAAGATTAGAGCAGCACCAGGAAGTAAAATGGAGCTAATCCTGTACTCAAGGATATTGTGTGGAATCAAGGGAGTGGTGACTTCAGGACAAGATCCCACCCAGCTAAGCTTATTGTTCATGTGTTTGCAATTTAACAAGGGATTGTTATATCATGTTAGGCTTTATTTTGACCTGGTTATTGTTTTTATTTTAAGTTCTAATCTGGAAAGAACTACAATATAGAAATTGAGGAGGCATCTGTGCTTGGCTCTTGAGGCATAGTTGCCAGGAAAATCATGGGTTCAGGCATGGTAGTACATGCCTTTAATCCAATGTCTGATCTTGGTGATGTACAAGAATGATCCAGGTGTTACTGGTTTTGAAAGCATGGAAGGGTCATGAAGAACAGCTGAGGCTTGGCACTGTGAGAGGCCAGGGAAGGCAAGTGGTGAAGGTGCAGCCTCAGTTGCAGTTGATGGCCCGGGACTGAAGGGTTTGTGCAAAGAAGTTGAGGCTGGCACCATGAAGGAAGCAAGGGAACCTGTGAGAGTCTATTGGTGAAGACTTGTTGCAGTGGGAGACTACAACAAATTAGAGATGCCAGTACTGTGGGATGATTACCAAGAATACCAGCAGCAATGGAGTGGAGTCAACCAGAGCCTAGAGTGCTACAGAGGGCAGATATGGAGAAGTGACCCAAGTCCTTTGGAAAAACCCAGAAGATGATGTGTGGATCACAGACATTGGAAAAAGAAGCTGTAGAATTGAAGTTGCCTTATATATTTCAAGGTTTTATAGATGCCAGAGCCATGGGATACGTGCCAAGGAAAGCTGCTAACAGGGAGTGGAACCAGCCCAAGAGAAAGAATTGTGTTGCAGTCAACAAAGCCGAAAAGAGTTGGACATCAGACATGAAGATGCAGAGTTTGCCCACCTCATTTTTTGGTCTTGTTTTTGGTCCTGTATTTCCTCACTGTGACATTTTGGAAAAGTAGTGTATATTCCGCGATGTTTGAAGTATGTGATCTGCTTTTTGATTTTGCTTTTATAGGAAATAACACTTAAGTGATTGGATGACTTTCAGAAGAGACTTTGGACTTTTAACATTGTTGAGACTGGTATAGACTATGAAGACTTTTGAAATTGGATGAAATGTATTTTGCATTATGCTATGTTTAGGTATGGCCCCTGTAACTTATGTGTTTGAACAAGCCTATGGAGGCCAGGAAGTGGAATGTGATGATTTGAATATGCTTGGCCCCATGGGAAGTGGCACTACTAGGAGGTGGCCTTGTTGGAAGTAGTTATAGCCTTGGTGGAGGAAGTTTATCACTGTGCAGGTGGGCTTGGAGGCCCTATGTTCAAGCTTCATTCTGTGTGGAAGAGAGCTCCTCCTGGTTGCCCATAGAAGAGAGTCCATTCCTGGCTACCTTCTGATCCAGATGTAGAACTCTCAGCTCCTTCTCTAGCACCATGTCTGCCTGCATGTTGTCATGCTCCCACCATGGTGATAATGAACTGAACCTTAAAAGCGTTGCCTTGGTTGTGGTGTCTACTTGCAGTAGTAATAAGACAATAGATCTTCAGGAAATCTTTAACCTGATTTCTGAAGAAATGAGAAATGAGATGAATGGTAATCCAGAGGACAAGGTCTCCTTCAAGAATCTTACCAAGGGCCAGTGTCCCAAAACAGTATATTAAAACTATATTTTATGCTGAAAACTATTACCAGGAAGGTTTCTTATCTGGCTGATTTCCTGCTCTATTTCCAGGTCTGGCACATGGTAGGTGTTCAGTGGCATATATTTGCTAATATGACTACAGAAAAGCACTGTTTAAAGGAGAGCTCCTTT